AGTGATATGCCTCTTGTAATACAGAATGAAAAGTAAAGAGGAAAAAAATCTTTTCAGCACAATTAACTGATACACTAAGACTGATAGCATACGAGAAATTCTACACTCCTAGCCCCTCACCTTGGCAAAGAGGATAAGAAATTCATCGCCTCAACTCTTTGCCCAGCTTTGACCTCCTCTTTCTGGGGTGACCTGTCTCTGTGAAGCAATAAATCAGAACTTGTCACTCACAACTCAGAACTGGGAGTTTTTGCCAAGGACGGTAAATCTCTGATGCTGAGAATTTCTTTTTTTTTTCTTCTCCTTTTCTTTTCTTTCTCTTTTTTCTGCTTATTTGTTTCTGCAATCAATTTAAAGAACTTGCAATCGTGATGTGGTAGAATAAGTACTAAATTTGGCATCATTCCTTTGTAATATTCTGGACTCACTCTTTCAAGGTGAGGTCAGACATGTTTCTCTTTTAGGGTTCTAGAGGAAGCCCTAATAAAAAAGAGAGTGTCTTGTTTTTGATACCAATAGCTCAAGCCCCCATTCTGATGTGGTGTCCCCAATGCCAACCTCTAACAATTAGTGGTCTAGTTTCATTCAACCAATTAACATCAATAGGTGGTTACAAAGGGATATTTACTGAACAGATATGGCAGGAACAGAGGTTACAAAGCATTTTGCTCCTCAGCTCCTGGAGATACAATTTCCCCTATGTCATTGTGGTTCTTGGGAAGAGTGGATTCAAGCTTAACATAATTTCCATAAAGCATTCACCCTACCAAACTCACTTCTGAATTTGGCATAACCAGTGGATGAATTATTATAAGCCAATCTGTAGTAAACATTTATTAAGTGCCTATAATGTGCCAGGCACTGTGCTAACTGCTGGGAATACAAAGAAAGATGAAAAATCCTTGCTCTCAGGAGCTCCTGATTGAACAGGGGGAGACAACACGCAGACAACTATGTACATACAAAAATATAGATAGAATAAGCTAGGAATATTCAAGACAGGAAAGGCGTTAGAATTAAGAGGGATAGCTCGGACTGCCTTCAGTCTATATTGGGTTAAACAGGCTGCTCGATACTTCTGCCCTTCCTAGCAGTCTCTCCAATGGTTCATCATTCTGATCTTTTCAAACTCACAGGCTCATAATTATCTCTTCCTTCACCCCAAAGAGGGAAAGATGGACACACCAGCAACAGAAGCAACATCAGGGTTGAGCCCTGGCCCTATGACAATGGCACCAGTGGAGAGATAAAGGCCTGAGTCCTTTCTTTCCGACATCTTAATTTTGCCTCCTCCCTTGAGCACAGCTAGGTAGGAATGAGGACTACCTTTGCTTTGGTTGGTCAATACCTTTTGAATGAACTCTGGTTCTGGCTCTGTGGTCAATCAACAACATGTCTATCACATGGCAATAGAGTGGAATCAGTTGAGAATGTCTAAGCATGTTCTAAATGAGGGAGTAGGTTCTTCCATTACATCCTTTTCTGGAAGAAGGCTCCTCTGTCTCTTCTGTGTGGGAACATACTGGGTATGCTCACTAGCCCCTTATTACACTTCATTCATTCATTCATTCATTCATTCATTCATTCAAACAGTTGGTCAACAGACATTTATTAAATGCTTACTATGTGTCAGACATTGTGCTAAGCATTGAGGGCACAAAGACAGGGAAAAAACAGTCCTTGTCCTCATGGAGCTTATATTCTAACGATGGCGACAACTAGATACCAACATGACGTATACAATGCCCTGCAGCTCCACCCGTTCCATAGTCTTCGAAAAAGTCTAATTTAACGGTCTGTGCCTCACACAATTGTGCTTCTTTGTTCTAGAATTTTTATCAGTTTTTAATAAATAAAAGTTCTTTCTCTGCCTCTAAGCTATCAAATTGTTCATATATGAAAGAAGCATCACTTTATAAAAAATCCTTTACAAGGTGATTAAAGCCTTTATATTCAATGACATGTTCATTTTCTGACTCCTTTGCAATGAATCTTCTCACTGAAAACTGTTGTTTTTTGTTTGAAATTGTACTTTTTTTACACATAGATTTTAATGGTTTTAATTGAACCAAAATAGCTTTCCTACTCCTTTCTGGCACCAAACTTTTTGTCTATTAAATGAATAATACCTTACATCCTTATCAGTTGTTTTATTTCTTGGTAATTACACAAAAATACTGTTTCTTGCTCTTTCAGCACCAAACTGCTCCATAGGAAAGGCAGTACCTTTAAGGTTCAATATTTTACACGCTTGGAGTAATGGACACCAGCTGTTTTGGGGGACTGAATGAAAAATAAACCTTACAGAAACAAAGCTAAAAAGGAGAGGTGAAGAGGAAGAATGTTTAGTTATGGGGAACTAGTGCAAAGACATGGGAATGAAATGCGCATGAGGAACAGAAAGTAGGCTTGCTGAATTATAGGGTACCTGGAGGGAAGTAAAGTGTACGAAGAATGCAAGGACCAGAAGTGACCAGGTTGTGAATTTTACTATATATTTGATCCTGAATGTAAGAAGGAGCCATTGTGCCCTGGTTCAAATCCAAACTCTGTTACTTACACCTGTGTAGTATTGGACAAATTACTTGGTCTCTCTGGGTCTCAGTTTCCTCATTTGTAAAATGAAGTAATTAGCCCAGATGACTTTTGAGGATCCTTTTATGGTCATATGATGCTAGTCTGAAGCCTGTGCTAATCTATACAATCTGCTTTGTGTGCTGCCCCCCAGGATTGCTGTGGGAGTGAGTGGGGACAACATACATCTTCTGCAAACTAGCCTCTTCAAAATTGGCATGATAGAAGCTGCAATGGGTAGGGTGGAAAGTTGTGGGAAGTGATACTTAGAGCTCTGGTGCCACATAGCTCCATTCTTACTCTTGGTCTTCTCATCCCCTCCCTTCCTGAAGCCATTTGTTTCTAAGAGGGCATGTCAAATCCCTGCTCTTTCTTCCTCCACTATTACTCCTTCAAAGCCCCCATTTTTCAAGAGCACTCCCATCTCTCTTTGCAGCATGTCTCTCCCCTGAGTAGCTCTAGAAACTTGCTGGCCAGTCCTTAAGATTCTTCAATCTCTTGGGACCCCTTAATCCTGGCTTGACCATCTCTCTTGTGACCAGAACTCCAAAGCTCTCATTAGTCTCATTTCTTATGTGGAAACCTCTGGGATACTCTGGTCTGACTGGGACCAAGGTGGAAGAGATGCTTTTTCTCAGCTCTCTCCTTCTGGACAAAGAATTTCCCCTTGCAATGACCCAATCTTTATGAATCAGAGCTGTAAAAACTAATTTCGCTCCAGGGCTCCTGCTATAAGGAATGTGTGTGCATGTGTGCCCCACCGCCCAAGACAGAGGTATCTGAAGGAATCTCCCAGGTCTGGACCAAGTTCCTAAGACTCCTATTCTCTGGTGTCCAGTGTCGGAAATGCTAACTCCACACCGATCCCAGAAGAAGAAGTTCATTTCTCTTGCTCCATTTCCAATTGGGTATCTTTAATCTTCCTGTCAATACTGTTGCAAATCCATGTCTCATGTTCAGTTCACTCCATGAATGTGAAGATTTCTATTGCTCTTCAGAGTTATTCTCATTCCAGAAATCCAGCCAGATGAGTGGGGACCCTTAAAATGATTTATTATTTTAATATGATAAAATATTAGCATTAATATTATAAAAAATTCAGCAGTGATCATAAACTCAACTTGCTTAGTCAGGGACAGTTTTTAATTGGCCACTACAATACGCTAATAATAATAGTTTATTTTAAATGACCTTTTATAGCTTGCAACACAGTTTTTAGACTATAAATTCCTTGAGGCAGGGTCCATGCCTTTGTCTTTCTTTGTATCACCATTGCTTAGCACAATGCCTGGCATGTAGTAAGTACTTAATAAATGTCTATTAATTTAACATGTATTATTTCTGAGGTGGCTGGTAGCACAGTGGATAGAGTGCTAGACAAGGAATTAGGAAGACCTGAGTTCCAATACAGCCTTGGACACTTACTAGTTGTATGACCTTGGACAAGTCACTTAACTTCTCTTTGCTGGTTTCCTAATCCATAAAATGAGATCTCTAAAATCCCTCTCAGCTCTAAATCTCTGATCTCAAGATCATTAAGGAGGCTGCCTTGATTGGTGGAGCCAAGAAGTAGAGTTGGAATCAGGAAGACCTGGGTTTTAATCCTTTCTCAGGCATTTACTATAATAATGGCTAACATTTATATAGCATTTACTATGTGCCAGGCACTGTGCTAAACACATTACAATTATTGTCTTATTTGACCCTCACAACAATCCTGGGAGGTAGGGACTACTATTACCTTCATTTTACAACAGGGAAATGGAGGCAAGAGATTAAGTGACTTACCCGGGGTCACATAGTGTCTGAGTGTCTGAGGCTAGATTTGAACTTGGGTCTTCCTGACTCCAGGCTTAGTACTCTATCCACAGAGGTATGTAGCTGCCTTACTAGTTGTATGACCCTGAGCAAGTTGTTTAACCTCTCTCAGACTCAGTTTCCTCATTTATAATATGTGGATAGTAATTATACCTAACTGACAGGGCTGTTGTAAGAATGAAATGAAATAATACTCAAAGTGATATCACTTTAAATTAAGCTATTATTAGGATTTAAGATTCACAAGCTTTTTATATACATTTTTTTTATTTTCAATATGATGAAGTAGGTGCTACAAGGATCTCTTTCTGTCTTAGTTTCCTTACCTGAAGAATAGGTTAAATATTAGCACTCCTCCCCTGCCTCCAGCCCAGGTTGTTTTGAGGGTCAAATATTGCAAACCTAAAGTCATAGAAAAATGTCAGCTACTATTATCATTGTTACTTCCTACCAGCATGACCTTGAACAAGTTACTTGGGCTCTCAGGACCAATGGTTCTCCACCTATATAATAAGGGGGTTAGATTGGATGACTTCTGGGGTCCCTTCCAACTCTGATGATTCCATGATCCATTTCACGGAAGAAACTGGGGCTCACAGAAGTCAAGATTTGTCCAGGGTCACAGAATAAGCATCAGAAGTGTTATTATGGGATGGCCTTGGAGACATGAGAATCAGCTGCTATGGCACTAGGGAAGGAGTGAGTCCATATCAGACATCTTGCGACCCAGAATGGAAGAAGAAGAAAAAAAGATTGTAGCTAATGAGGCTTGGGTCACAAAAGTGATAATAATGGTTGGAGGTAGCACTAGGAAAGGCTGAGGTCTTGCAGAAAAGTTGTGAATGCAAAGGGCTGCTTTCCATCGACAAGGTATCTTTGTAGGCATTGTTTCCATGGTGTCCTTCTAATATTGGGTGGGGCTGGAAGACCTGTGGAAGTTTGCCTCCTAAGTTCAGAGGTGAAATGAATTCAATTGTCAAAAAGGTAGTCTCAAGCAAAACATCATTCTCTGAATCATCTCCTTTGTTACAGGATTAAAAAAAAACACTCCAAAAAGCCACTACCCACCCTGAAACACAGAAAGGCAACTGGGCTTTAGGGAAACAGGAGTGTCATTGGCATGGACCTTGAGGGTGGGGAAGGGAGGAGGAGCCATCTCCATGGAAGGTGTATAAAAGAGGCCCTGTTTTAGGGAAGAGTCACATACTCTTGGGTCTAGCTCAATCTGAACAAAAGCCTAACCCAGGTTCTCTAGCTGCTATAGCCATGAGTTGCCGTCTTCAGTCCTCATCTTCTGCTTATGGAAGTGGTTTTGGTGGTGGCTCTTGCCAACTGGGAGGAGGTCGGGGTATGTCTAGCTGCTCAAGTAGGTTTGTATCCTCTGGCTCAGTGGGAGGCTATGGTGGTGGAATAAGCTGTGGTTTTGGTGGAGGATCTGGTAGTGGTTTTGGTGGGGGCTTTGGTGGTAGTGCTGGAGGTGGATATGGAGGAGGCTTCGGAGGAAGCTTTGGAGGTGCCTTTGGTGGTGGCTTTGACTTGGGTGGTGGAGATGGCGGGCTCTTGACTGGCAATGAGAAGATCACCATGCAGAACCTCAATGACCGCCTGGCCTCCTACCTGGACAAAGTACGGGCTCTAGAGGAGGCCAATGCTGACCTGGAGGTCAAGATCCGGGATTGGCATCTAAAGCAAAGCCCCACAAGCCCCGAGCGGGATTACAGCGCCTTTTACAAGACCATTGAGGACCTCCAGGAAAAGGTAAGACTTTGTCATATAGAAGAGACAGAATAGATAATTCTCCCTGTGGCAAAGTCTTCAGGGTCAAAGGTCACAGAATCTCAAGGAGCGATGACAGCTTTACTGGGGATAGAATCTCACCTTCCCTTCAAGGGATGTTCTAATGATTTGCCATGTGGTCTGTGCTCCTAACGGGATTGTTTATGCCATGCATTTTATCCCACAGTTAATTTTTACTACAGCTATTACTCAAGTGGAAAGCTTTACTGCTTCAAAAACATTCAGTTTCTCAGGGACTCTATCCCTGTAATCCAAGCCTCCTGGCTTCTTTAGAAACTGATAACAGTTTTGAGAGCTCAGAGGAATGTATGCCAGGTCACTGGTCAAGGAATAGCTGGACAGTTTCCTGCTGTCCTGTTTACTTTTTCATGATCATTTGTGACCAAAAGAAAGGGGAAGCATTGACAAAGAGAAGCTGACCTCTTTGGGATCCCCCTCTTGTGACTGGCTTGTCACATTCACAACAGCATGCCGAGACAAGAGCAAAGCCCTAGCTTAGGGTGGGGTAGGGTTGAATCCTCAGAATTTCTGGAATCCAGATGAGAAGACAGGAATCCTAAACAGAGGCTGTCATTATGTATCTCTCTGATACCAATTTAACTTCATTGGGTCTCAGTTTCTTTCAGTTTGAGGAGGTTGGACTAGGTAATACATAGCCATTTATTTAGCATCTTGAGGCTTGCAAAGTGCTTTACATCCATTACTTTTTTTTAATCCTTATAACAGCCTTACAAGGTAGGTGATATTTATTTCATCCCCATTTTACAGAGGTGGAAACAGACAGAGAGAGGTTTAAGTGATTTGTCCAAGGTCACACAGCTAGTGCATATCTGAGGCAGGATTTGAACCCAGGTTTTCTTGACTCCAGTTCTAGTGTTCTATCTACTCTAGTATGCTGACTTTCTTTGGGTGATTTCTAAGGTTCTTTCTAGCTCCAAACCCAATGTTCCTAGGAACCTCAGGGGTCTGGCTCTACTTGAGATATTTTTAAAGATGCAGGGGTGGGCTGAGCTGCTTCTCTGCATTCCAGAGAGTAGGACCACAGACCATCAAAGAGAGCAATCCTCCCACCCTGAGGAATGTTACTTGATTGATGACAAGAGGGAATGTTTGTTTGGAGAAAAAGAGATAGCACCCAGGCACCATTCTCTGCCCTCTGTCTTCCTAGCTGAGATAGGAATGTCTTCTTTAAAATGAATGTGCAGGGTCTTTTTCAGGCCTCTTTTTTCCATCCTCCACTAACATTTAGGATTATAGAGCCATGAAATGCCAGAGATTGAAGAGATCTTTGAGATCAAAGAGTCCATCCTCACTCATTTTATAAAGAAGGAAACCTAGGCTCAAGACAGGGAAGTGACTTGCTTAAGGTCATTCAGCTAGGTAGTGCCCAAGTTTTCATACAAAGCCAGAAGGACTGGAGATCACTGGTCTCCTATCTCCCACAGATCCTGACAGCCACTATTGACAACTCTCGGGTCGTTCTGGAGATTGACAATGCCAGGCTGGCTGCTGATGACTTCAGGCTCAAGTAAGTTTCTCTCTGTCTCTGTCTCTTCATTTCCCTGCCCCCCACTCTCTGTCCTTTCTTTTTGCCCTCTCTCTCTCTCTTTCCCTCCTCTCTGTTCTCTCTCTCTGTCTCTCCATTTCCTCTCTATTTCTCTCTCCTTCCTTCTTTGTCTCTGTCTCCCTCCTTTCTCTGTTTCTCTCTCTTTTTCTTCTCTCTCTTTCTCCTTCCTCTCTGTTTTTCCCTCTCTGCCTCTCCATTTCCTCTCTGTCTCTGTCTCTCTTCCTTTCTATCTCCCTCTCTCTCTACTTCTCTCTCTCTCTCTCTCTCTCCCTTTTCAACTGTCTCTTATTTCAGGCAGATTCCCATTTAAATTTTGGGTTTTCTCACCCTCTAGGTATGAGAATGAACTGGGCCTGCGCCAGAGTGTGGAGGCTGATATCAATGGCCTGCGCAGGGTGCTGGATGAGCTGACCCTCTCCAAGGCTGACCTGGAGATGCAGATCGAGAGCTTGAATGAGGAACTGGCCTTCCTCAAGAAGAACCATGAAGAGGTGAGGCAGTGGGTGGGAGGCAACAGCTGACGGCCTGCACTGGAGCCCATTGACAGAATGGCACCCCCCTGGAGCTTGGGCACCCCTGCCAAAACTTCAGTATGAGATTCAGTTACAATAGGAGCTGAGAAGAGGAAGTGTGAGCTCTGGTTTTTCTTGTTTCTATAGGAAATGAAGGAATATAGCAACCAGGTGGTGGGCCAGGTCAACGTGGAGATGGACGCTACCCCTGGCATTGACCTGACCCGTACACTGGCTGAAATGAGAGAGCAGTATGAGGCCTTGGCAGAGAAGAACCGCAGGGATGCCGAGGCCTGGTTCCAACAGAAGGTATTCTCATCCCTTTACTCTGTAGATCTGATTCTTCTCAACCCGAGGAAGCAGCATCTTGCTCTGCTCTCAGAGTCAGGATCTTCATTCATATCTTTCATCTTTGATTCCTCTCCCTCCCCACAGAGTGAAGAGCTGAACAAGGAGGTCACTACTAGCACTGAAATGATCCAGACCAGCAAGACTGAGATCACAGAACTGAGACGCACTCTCCAGGGGCTGGAGATCGAGCTGCAGTCTCAGCTCAGCACAGTATGTGGGCAATCCTCTCCTGGGAGACTCCCTGCCTCCTGGATTCTGCAATGGGTGTCCACCCACCTCCTGAACCTGTTCTCCATTTCCTCAACAGAAAGCCGGGCTGGAGTCTACTGTGGCAGAGACAGAGTGCCGCTATGCCATGCAGTTGCAACAAATCCAGGGGCTAATCAGCAGCATTGAGGCCCAGCTGAGCGATCTCCGTAGTGAGATGGAATGCCAGAACCAGGAATACAAGATGCTGCTGGACATCAAGACACGGCTGGAGCAGGAGATTGCCACATACCGCAGCCTGCTGGAGGGCCAGGACTCCAAGTAAGCAAGGGCGCTTTCACAGAAAGTATCACACAAAGGCCCAGTTCTATAATGGATAGGGCACCGGATTTGGAGTCAGGAAGACCTGGGTTCAAATCATTTGCTGAATTTGGGGAAGCTTAAGTAACAGCAATAACAGTAATTCATGATATTCTGTAAGTCACTTTCACGGGCTCTAGAGGTGAGGTCCAGGCAGGGAACGTCCACTAAAGTTACCGGAAGAGACTGTCTGGAACATTGAGGAAAGCTTTAGGGCATTGGTCACATGATTTCCAAGCCCCTCTCCAATTCTTAACAATCCACGACTTTCAGCATTTCCTGCAAATGATTCCCTGTCCCTACAGCCACACTTTTCTCCTGAAGGAACTTTTCAGACAGTAGTCAAAACCTAGCAATGATAGATGGGGCTCCTTTACAGTCTAGGGGGCAGCTGAGCTAATGAGCAAAATTCAGGGGTTTTCAGACCTGACTGATTTAGCCTCTTGGGAAACTGGGAAAGAAAGGTGCATCTTGTTTTCTGCCCTGTTTTCTGAGCTGTAGTTTATTCCTATCTTTCTTCTCTTTCTTATAGGATGACTGGCTTCCCCACTTCTGGAACAAGTAAGAGAATCCAGCACTCAGTCCTGGGTGTGGTTAGGTGGGGTGGAGTTGGGTTGGAGAGAGTCAATTCCCTTTCCTTAAGGGCAAGAAGACAGCTCTGAATTCCCAAACACTCCAGCTATAGAGGCTGTTATATTCATGGCCAAATGGCACTCTCTTTGTCGGAGCCATCCAAATGACCTCTGAGACAGTCTGGGATATTTCTCCTTTGGTGTAGAAAGACATAGTTTTTGTTTGCTGTATCATCCAGCTAGTTAAGGTGCCCCTGTGGGCTATCCCTGTAGAACTGTTCCATGATCTGGGTGGGAAGAGATGACTTTCTTGAATGAAACCTTCTCTTTCTTTTCCTAGCCTCTGTCAGCAGCAGCAGCAGCAGCACTAACATTTCTTCTGGGAGCCGCCGGGTTTCCGACACCAGAAAGCCATAAATCTGCCCAGCCTTTGGCCCCCTCCTCTCTCCAACAGTCACTACACATGAGAAGTCAAGAGGAATGAAACATGCTAGGCTTCTGACCAGAGAGCTCAGCCCACCCAAGTCCCTCCAGTCACTGTCCCTGGTCACTCACCCTAGGAGCGCTAAAGATGAGGGCTCTTCTCTTAGTCAGCTGCTTCTCCCACCTCACTGTGATTGTGTGACTGTCATTGTGATGTGCCTTTTCAGGAAAGGGGAGGGCATTCTTCCATCTCTCTCTCTCTTTCTCTCTTTCCCTCTCTCTCATGTTTCATGAAATGAAAGTAATTCAATAAAGGTTTCCCGCTGTTTCTGCAAATGTATTTTTGGTATCGATCTGGTTTCTAGAGTCTGAATTGCCCCAAGTGCTCATTAGATGCTCATTCTTCCTGGCAAGGCACTGTGTACTTAGCCTGTTCCAGCAGATCCTGGGGAATGTGATTCCACCTCATTTCCTTCCTGTCATTGAACTTAAGCAAATGATTTCCATTCTTTGGGCCTCGGTTTCTTTCTCCATAAGATGATGGGATAAGATTAAATGATCTCTGGGGTCCTTGCCAGTACTAAATCCTCCGAGCCGGTGGGATGGGTTTCTATTTTTGAACCCAGGACAAGCAAACTCAATCTCAACTTTGTCCCCTTAGTGGCCTTGGTGGGTTTTTATTGCTTCACAATTGGCACTCAGAGCTTAGAGCAGTTTCTGGTCCCTGTTCTCTAGGGAAGTGACAAGGAATCTGTCTATAAATCAAGACTAGAATGACCTTCTGGTGGCTGTCACTACAGCAGAGCATGCCAGTATTGGTTAGTGAGGAAAGACTCCTTTCCATTCCCCTCCTCCCCAAAGCTGGACTGTCCTTAGGGTGACCCTAGAGTGTCCAAGTCACCATTGTGGGATGGGCCAGAGCTACACCCCCTCAACAGCAGGGCAAGGCAGTATCCTTCTTTCCATAAGCTACTTTGCAATAATCAGGGTGTGGTCAGGAATCTCACATGTGCTTGCTATGAAATGCAATTCTACCTGAGAGCCAAGGGGCACGGGCCCAAAGGAGGCTCCCATTCCATCTTGGAGAACAGATAGAGAGAAGGAAACACTTGGGAGTAGCCAAAGCTTCACTCCATCAATTGGGAGCCCGTAGAATAGGAGGCAGGATCTCCAGAGATGTCTCTGTCAATAACCAGCCTTTCCTGCCAGTATTACTCACCAGATTCACCATAAATAATCGGGTTCCTTTCTGGCCAGGTGCTCAGACAGCTAGAGTGAACAGATTGAGTTTCAGGCCAGTTTGATGTTTTAGGTTTTCTCTTCATCAGCCCCAGATTTCCTTGTAGTCTCTTGAGGATAAGGGTGATGGGTCTATTACTTAGATTCTCAGGGAAAGGCCCAAATACGTAGACTCTGCCATTCTCATAAATCCTCTCTCCTCCCCTTCCCCATTTCCTTCCTTTGTCAGTACAGGCACACAGTCAGTTCATTTCTCAGCAGTGCTGCTCATGGGTATTAGGACACCAGCATCGTCCCAAGAATTAACACAACAGACCCTCTACAGAAAGTATCAAGGAAGGACAAGAGAAGAAAGACTCTGGGATTCCAGATAAGACCAGGAAGGAGACATATTACACCATTAGCTCCTTGAGATCGGAGACTGTGTTTGCTTTTCTTTGTCTTCCTGACATTTAGCACAGTGCCTGGCACTCAGTAGAAATCCTGTCTTGACATCTTCTGGCAGGTACCTACAGGAACATAGAGCTGGAAGGGACCTTAGAAGCCCTTCATTTTATGGAGAATCATGTCCTTGATCCCAGAGAAGTAAAAGGACTTTCCCAAAGTAGCATGGCTAGGAAGCAACAGAAATGGGATTATAACTGACTCCCCATTTTAGAGTTCTTTCCAGTATGTCTGCACTGCCTTTTTTATGCCTAGGTTCCTTTGAGGACCCTAGGAAATGCAGCCCAGGGGCCGAAGGAATGATAGACCAGTCCCAGCCCTAAATGTTTGTTTGGGATGCATGGTTGGGTCGGGGTGGTGCACAGGCCAAATGTTTGAGGTTCTTTAGAAGGTAAGGAAGTGTTAGAGGAGTCTGTCCTAGGGAAATGTGGTCTATAAGCCACAAGGGAGCTGAAAAATATTGAGTCAAGGTGTCCTAATACTTATGTGACTGCTAAGCGGCACCATAGTGCACAGAGCACCAGTGTCAGGAAGACTCATCTTCCTGAGTTCAAATCTGCACTCAGACATTTACTAGCTGTGTGACTCTGGGCAAGTCACTTACCCCGTTTGCCTTGGCTTCCTCTTCAGTAAGATTAGCTGGAGAAGGAAATGGCAAACCACTTCAGTATCTCTGCCAAGAAAACCCCAAATTGGGTCATGGAGAGTCAGATGCAACTGAACAACAACAACAAGGTGTCCTGGGGGCTGGGAAAGGAGTGAGGCTACTTGAATCCTGCCTTATTCCTGTCTTCCTTACCCCAATATACCAATGGCTCTGTGATTTCATCAATGTGGACACTCCTTCTAGGAGGCAGATTCCACCCCACCCATATGCCTGCCCATCTTGGGTGACTCTTCTACATGGCCTCCCATAAGTTCTCCATAAACTTGCTCTGAGTAGAGTCTCCTCCCTAGGGCCCCACCTTGGACCAGAGGCTATACCCCTTCCTTGGCCCTCCCTCCGCATTCCAAGACTGCACAGGCCAGCTGTAGTCCTGCAGGGGCCAGCTGAGAAACAAAACTTCAGCAGCAGGACATGCTGAGGGTGAGGAGGGAAGGACTGGGCTCCCCAGTCCTGATTTCTCCAGAACCCATTCTATCCTTTTGTCTTGTCTTAGATGAGCAGGCCTGGAGAGTAATAACTGAATGGGATTCCTTCCTTCTTCCTGGAGCTCTCAGTCCAATGGTCCCAGCATCTAAGAAATCCCTGAAATGCTTGGGGGAATTATGGAAGAAGGTGCTCTCCTAGGGCACATAGTGAGGGTGCCAGGGCTCCCCTTTCCTATCAGTATATTTCTATCTAGGTGAAGTCTGGTAATAGCAAACACCAAGATGTAGCTAGTATTTATATAGCACTTGAAGATTTGCAAAGCACTTACCATGTAGTCTCAGTGACTATTCTTATTTTACAAGAAGGAAAATGAGGCAGATAGAGTGTAAGTGAATTGCCCAGGATCACACGGCCAGAAAGTATCTGACACAAGATTTGGACTCAGGTCTTCCTCACTCCAGGGCCAACACTCTACCCACTATTTCATCTAAGAGAAAGTTCACTGAATTTGGCCTCAGATCACATATGTTGGAGTCCTGGATCTGCTACCCATATGACATTGGCAAGAAATTTCTCCTCTTTGGTTCTCATTTTCCTCATTTGTAAAACGAAGGGATGGCTTAGATAATCTATAAAGTCTTTTCTGGTGGTAAATCTTATAATCCTATATACACCTGATGGACCCTTGAAGAGGAAGAGTAGTAGTCACTGATGAATGCCATGTGTCTTCAGAGGGGAGGGTTGAATAAAGGACAGATGGGACCAGGGGAGAACCAAGTCTGAAGGCTCTTTCTTAAAATACTGTAGCAGTAGCAGTCCCATGGAAAGTTGCAAATTTCAGCCTTTATATCTGTCCTCAGTCTTCTGTGTGTCCTCTTCTTATGTCTCATTTTATCTGCCTTCTGTGTATGTGTGTTGTTTGACTGATAAAGCCATTTGTGAAATCTCCTTGAAAGCTGTGAAAACTAAGTCTCTTTCTGATTGAACTTCTTTCCATCTTGAGAAACAGTGACGTTCACATTTGTTTTCAAGCTAAAATTTCTCCAATGTTATCCATGTCTATTTTCATTCTGCATGCTTCACACATTTACCCTCTTACTTTCCTCTTCTTTTTTTTTTTTTTGTTTTGAACTTTAGGTGTCACCAAGACTAAGGTTTTATAGAGGCTCAGCCCGATCCAGACTCTTGTACATTTCTGAATACAGTTCACTGAGTGGCAAATAGTATATGGAAGTGCCATTTGGACCCAGCCACCTTCCAAGCCAGCGTATGCTGATGCCCAAGTCCCACCCGTAAAGCACTATACAACAATATTCACTGTAAACACAAAGGAATACAAATTTTTTATGCATTGTTGACCATGTACAATTACCCTAGAATAAACCCATACTATTTGCGCAAATATTTTGAGCCAAAGGTTATTCCTTTAGAACCTCTCCTCAGTTTCTGGATTCTGAGTCTCAGCTATTACAGCTGTTAATTGAATTGTCCTGAGTTTGTATTGAGAGGATCCACATCTCCCAAATTCCCCACATGCAAGGTTTTTAAGGCAAACAGGTATGTGGTTTCCTATTGGTTTGCAAAGATGACAAACTTTGCTCAACACTGGGGCAACTTTGGCTTGTCCAACTAATTTTCTCTCAATTTATGGTCCTATTGCTAAGATGCTTCAATAACTTCCCTGCTCTTCTAACGCTACCCTCCTTCCTCCAAATGAACTGCAAAGTAGCTGAAAGTTATTGCAAAGCAAGAGGGCTAAAGAAACTAAGTTAACAGTTATTTCCAGAATGTGTGGTAGCTGGACTGAAAAATGAAGATCCTCTGTCTGTTGTCAAATGTTAATTTATTGCAATGTCTCCTTTGTAGCTTTTAACTTGCTGGGCATTCCACAGCACCACTATAGATCAATATAATTGGCCTCATGAGGATGTCTGCCATCAATGTTGCAGCCCACAGACTGGGCTGTTCCAAGGATCTCTTTAATGGTTCCAGAGAGGTCTCTTGCCAAGGATCAGTGACTCATCCATTGGGCAATGTTGACAATCTCATTGAGACTGATGTTTCCATTGTGTTTAATGTTTTTCTGTTTCTTTCTATCCCGAGGAGGTTCCTTTAGGGCTTTGATGATCAAGGCTGAGGCAGAAGGCAGAACCTCAATCTGGGCCTGTCCGTTCTGAATGGTAAGTTTCACTGTGATCCAGTCACCAGTTGCCTTGGCAATGTCATCACCAACCTTTCTGGGAGACAAACCCATGGGACCAATTTTTGGGGCCAGAGCTGATGTGGCATCAGCTTCCCCATCAGTGCACCTTAAAAACATGACTTTAATTTCATTAGGGTCAAACTTGGGCAGCACAGCGATGATGAAGGTGAAGGCTTGGCCTGGATGCTGTGGAGTGGCTGCCGGTGTCAGATGAATCCAGATTCGGGATGACTGAAAGTACCCTCTTACTTACTTACTATGAGAGTGAGTTGATGGGCATAATTTTTCAAGACAGTCTTTTTGTTGTTGTTCAGTTGTTTTAGTCACATCTGACTCTTTGTGACCCAATTTGGGGTTTTCT